GCATCCCAGGCTTCTGTAGAGAATCAGTAAATAAACTTTCTATGACACAACCTGCTCTATGTTCTTTAAATGTGAAGGAAAACATTTTTCAAGAACTCTACAATTTTCCCCCCAACACATAGTAAGTATCACTTTGGTTCTTCAAAACACTGCCTTGATGAATGGATAGAGAGATGGAGCAAAAGACACTTGGAGAAGACAAGGCAGGTAATAAAGGAAGAACAAGACAAGGGAAAGGTGGAGAGATCTTTAGGTCCATGTCTTACAGAACGAGCACATGGAACAGAATGTCACTGTAGAAATAACAATGAGTTACTAGCACATCCACACATCCACCCCCACCAACAGAGAGAAACATCTTGGGTCTTTTATTTCTACAGCTCTGGATTTACTTACATCTCCATTATCTAAAATATGGTGTTATTGATCATGTTTCTTATGGTATAGGGATACAGGCAAACAAACCATGAGGGCAAAAAGGGTTGTGGACAATAACATGGGTAGGAAAAGCAATTAAGCCCATTCATCACTGCTGAGGCCTTGACTTGTTACTGCCACAAAATATTTGGTTTGTGGGTATGGAAATGTATTCCTTTTGTTTTTTTCCTACAAGTGGAAGGACAAAATGCAGGTCATTCTGGGACAGTGGAGAGAAAGGAGTTGACCTAATCAATTTTTCAAACCATCTCTGTTGGTAAATGCTTTGGGTGACCATACATGAATTCCATTGTCTGTATCAGGTGGGTTTATATTCCTTTTTCTTGAGATTCTCAGATAATATTCTCTTTACTGCATAATACAGTCTTCCATCCTTTTATTACTCTTACCGCATAATTTGGTTTCCCTAAATCATTCACCACTTCTCTCTTCATTTGCTCTCTACCATCTCTTTGTATCCCATCTCTTCTTTAAACATTCTTCTTTTTCTTCATTTTTCTACCACATTCTGCATTTTGTTTTTCAGTATTTTATTGCTCTCTCCTTTAGATAACTAAGAACATAAAGAGGGTCTCTGCACAGAGATATGAGACCTAAATTCCCAAGTTCTAATTTGTATCAAAATATTTCACCTCTGGACTACAACTTCCAAAAATGTCATTATACATTTCAGAAACCCCAAATGACCTCTTATTTTGCAGCAGTGGCAATTTTCACACATCACACTGGGCTATAAGAGCCTTGTTAGGATCTAGCCATGGCTTCAGTAGAATTTGGGTGATTTTTGTACCTTGGCATGACTATTAGAAAGAGGTAGATATTTACTCACCTAAGCAAAATGTTCAACAATAAAGTTAATGGATCTGTACTCAGAGTGTTTTATGGATGTGTGATGTTTTGAAAATTTGACTGTGTGTTTATGTTATGAGCAATGTCAGCATCCAGCCATGGGCTCAGAAGAATTTGGGGGGATTTTATCAGTGGACTCCTTGGTGCTCTCTGAGCTTGGTTGCTTTTTTTTACAGATGTTTCGTTACTCAACTAGGTAACACCATCAGGTTTTAGTGAGTGTGGGGTTTGCTTCTTGTTTTTTTATACAGTATATTTCCCTGCCAGTGTTGGTGGGGGTGTGACTTTTAGGAAGGAAGCCCCACTCTTACTAGCACTGATGATTTTACCTAGTTGAGTAATGAAATGTCTGCAAGCAATCAACCAAGCTCAGAGAGCACCAAGGTCTTCACAATCCAACCCTGAGCTACAGATATTTTCTTCTACTGGATTTTATAAGCGTCAGTTGCAGTTCTTCCTCAGTCTAATAGGAATCTGAAAAATAAAGGATATAAGAAGAAACAATATTTTTGCTTTAATGTTTTGGAGTAGAGTTACCTAAACATTTGCAAAACTAACACCTTGGTCACTTCTCTCTTATTCAGTTACTAGAGATCCCAGGACATGGATCTGATCAATTGTACTCGAGTGACAGAATTCATCCTCCTTGGGTTTCCACACATTTCAGGAATGAACATCACTTTGTTTATAGTTGTCCTCCTGCTCTACATTTTGTCCATCACTGGTAATGGTTTCATCATTGTCATGGTAAGAGTTGACCGTCAGCTCCAAAAGCCAATGTACTTCTTCCTTAGCAATCTCTCTTTCCTTGAGATATGGTATACCACTGCTGTTGTCCCCAAAATGTTGGCCAACCTTCTTTCATCCAAGACCACCATCTGCTTCCATTGCTGCATGGCACAGTGCTATTTCCACTTTCTCTTTGGCATCACAGAATTTTATATCCTCACTGTCATGTCATTTGACCGGTATTTAGCTATCTGCAAGCCATTAAGATATGCCACCATCATGACCACCAATGTCTGCTTTCAGCTTGCACTGGCTGCATGGTTTGGGGGGTTCTGTACCATCCTTCTCCAGACTACGTTGGTGGTGAGACTCCCTTTCTGCCATTCCAACATTGTCAATCATTTTTATTGTGACATTGGACCCATGTTGAAAATTGCAGGGGGTCATACAGATCTTATCGAAGCCCTTGGCTTTCTTATTGCTGTGGCTGTGATATTGACTTCTCTGCTTCTGACTGTGATTTCTTATATTTTCATCATTTCCACCATTCTCCGCATCCCTTCAGCCAGTGGACAAAAGAAAGCCTTCTCTACTTGTGCTTCTCATCTGACTGTGGTCAGCATCTTGTATGGGGCTGTCCTTTTTATCTATTTAAGACCTTCTGCTGCACATTCTTCATTCAGCCTCAACAAGGCCATCTCTGTGCTGAACACTGTAATCACCCCTGTGCTAAACCCTTTCATCTACACAATCCGAAATAATGAAGTCAAAACAGCAGTGCGGAAAGTGTTACAATCTGAGGTCACACTTAGATTCCCTAGATCATAAGTGCTGGTTTGTAATGCAAAGACTTGAAGAGGAAGACATTGATGTTAGGACTCAAAGTTCCCAGCCTAATATTCAATGTAAGATAAGATTTATTTTGAGATGGTACCACCCCAAGCACTCCCTCCCTCCCTCCCTCCCTCCCTCCCTCCCTCCCTCCCTTCCCTCCTTCCTTCTTTCCTCCCTCCCTCCATCCCTCCATCCCTTCCTAGAATAGATAAACATTCTCTTTCTTAGAAATGATTTGATCTTCATACTGTTGAGGTAATAGGATCAAGAAGACTTCATGCAGTGATTTCTGGCTCAACTTTCAGCATTTCCAATTAAGGCTTAGGAAGACCTTCCTTTGAAACTCTAGATGGACCATTCATGTGCTCAGTGCATGAGTCCTTCCTGGGTTCCTAATGATACTCATCTGGGTTCTTCTTTATGCCCACATCCAAGACAGCTTTACAAAATCTCAGGAATGCCATAGGAGAGACAAGTAGGATCTTTCCTTCCTTCTTCAAGTGCAGATTTCAAGGGAATTTTGGCTGTGATCAACACAGCTTTGAGGTTACTGAAAGATCATCTAAAATCATTGGCAATGGTCTGGTCTTTAAGGGATCACAACATCATAAAAGAGAATGATATTTTATTAGCCTCTAGTGATGACCACCTTCCATGTAATACCTGTAACTCTTATGAGAGGTTTTCAAAAGAGTGGAAAGGAAAATGTAGTTTTTAGAAGCAATATATGTGTCTTCTTCTCATGGATAACTACAGTGGTTTCCCCCAGTGCTTGAGAAGTTTTCAACATGGAGAGTGTTTCCCCATCACAACCATCTCCTTCCCTGCAGAGAAGTATTTGTTTCTCTGCTCCTTTTCCTGTGTGATGTTCAACATTGTTCTTAGAATCCTAAGAACCACCAAACCATCCACAAATGCTATGCGCTGTCTCTGGTTCACCCATGACCATTAACCATCTTTGTTTTGTATGGGTGGTATGGGGAAAAAGAGTGACATGCATTCATATTTATATTCTCCCCCCATACCACCCATACACAGATACTTTTTTTGAGGGAGGCATCTTTGAGTCAATATTGACTCCTGGCAGCTGCTTGGACTAGTCATTGCCTTCTTCTTATGGCTGAGAGAGAATGACTGGCCCAAGGTCACCCAGCTGGCTTTGTGCCTAAGGTGGGACTAGAACTCATGGTCTCACGGTTGCTAGCCAGATGCCTTAACCACTACAGCAAACTTGCTGTCATTTTTTAGGTCAGCAAACATAATCAATTTTCATGAGTCAGCCAGAGGTAGAGAAAAGCTAAATCCTTTGGCAGGAAGAGCAAGAGAATCTACATCCAAGCTGAGTAAGTGTGGAGACTATTTCTGGAGTTAGGTGGATGAGAAATATTTCTCTGAGGGTTAATGAGAATGTTTGTGTTCTGCTAGTGAGAAAGAAACATTGGATACCTGAACAAGAAATGTTGATGGTCCTGTAAAATACAATGAGGACCCCTTGCGGTCGAGAGAAGTATAAGAGGGTGATACTATAAATAGATGAACGAATAAATGCCATCTTTGAATGCAAACTTTCTACTGAATCCTCAAGGCCAATGTGTCCTATACAACAATGCTTTTTAATGGAATCATCACTTGCACAAACACTATGCTGTTTGAACCCAATTAAGAGAGCAAAGCTGGAAATGAATGAAACTACAGGCATTCGGACAGAGCTGCTGAACTTTGGGCTTCTAAAGTATTGCTTCTTATAGCATCTTGAAAAATGACAGATGATTAACCTAACGTTATTTCTTCATTCCTACACTTTCTGTTTCCTTTCTTAAAATAAATGAATTTTGAATTCCAATAGATGAAACAAAAACACATGAGAGAGAGAGAGAGAGAGATGATGATAGATAGATAGATAGATAGATAGATAGATAGATAGATAGATAGATAGATATAGATGATTCAGAATTATTGAAGATATTTATTATGCAGGGTGGAGGTGGGGGAAGAAGACAATTTGCACCCCAAAAGACACAATAGCATTCAGATGTGCATCATATTCATGCCCTGAATGTGAGAACTGGCTTCACTGAACACAGCATTTAAATTTTAACTTAGTTAATATAGATTGATTCCTGATTCACATACGAAAGTCTACTTGTGCCACTATTGAATGGGTAAGCAATATTTAAGAGCCAAATAGTTCGTCACAGGTCTTGATTCGCAAAAAGGTGTCCTTGATAAATTCCAGATTAAAAACACCATAAGCACACAATAGAAAAACCAGGGAGAGTGGGAGGAGGACAATATATCATATAAATAATCGAAATAACAGCCAAAGAAGAGGAAGAAGCATAGAAGTAATGAGTCAGTTGAAAAATGAACTAAAAGATCTCTCAAACTTTCACAAAATCTACTGCCTAAATAGGCAGTTAATTGGAACTTTAAAGTGAAGGGTATAGCAGAATATTTCAATTAGCAGCCAATGCTTTTTTAAAAAAAAAAAAACACTCCCCAATTTCTCATTCTTTATGATTAATGAAGATCATTGGTACAAGTGCTAAATCACATCTTCATGTTATAGCAATCTATGGAGTCCCCAAACCAGCACATTAACACAAATTATTTTAGATATATATCATTATTATGACTCAACTCATCGTAGTAGAACATTAGAGAATTAAACAAATTGCTGGTGAATATGGTACCTAAGTGTCCTTGACTGTTACCAGCCTTGCTAAGCAAGGTTGGAGCTGATGAGTATTTGAATGGGAGATGACTCAAAAATCCCAGGACTATGGTCTGCACTGGAAAGTTGAAAAAATTGTCCAGAAGAAAGCAACAGCAAACCATTTCCATAACGTTGCCATGAAAACAACCTGAATAGGTCCATGTGGACATCAGGAGTTAACCTGATGACTGCAAGCACAATCTGTGTTGTTTTTGACTCAAGGAAGACTTGAATTTACATTGTTGAGCACTTGATGGCACTGAAGCTCTGAACAAATGACCAGACAAACAAATGTGAAATAGTGAGAGGCAGATGTTGCCTTTGAAGAATCTTCTGTATAAACCACCAACAGTTTCAACATTCTTTGTCCATTCTCCTTGCAGATCATACTCTACTAACTAGACATGTAGCTAAGATAACTTGGCCAAGTTGATATCCATACCATAGCCAGAGTGCACATTGAGCATTTACAGCTCTCTTGAAAGGTCTATCAGGTTTACTTTATTTTATGTGTATTTTCAATTAAGATGTTAAGATCCTTCTGCCTTAATTAAAATTCCATGGATGATGATGATGATGATGATGATGATGATGATGATGATGATGATGATGATGATGATTTTGGTATCAAAATAGAAAGGCTAGTTGACACAGGACCCTGAACCATAAACTAATCAAACGGGGTTGGTACAAAACACTAAACCACCACCAAAAAAAAAAAATCTAACCAAGCCTAGCTTTCTATATTACTGCAAGCACAAGGTCCTTAAATGGCTTGCTAAATATAAGTAAAGTCACTCTATCCATAATTATTAATTATGCCAGGATTGGGGAATCTGTGATCCTCCCAAAGTTGCTGAACTACAGTTCTTAGCAACTCTAGTCAGTTAAGTAAGAGGTAGGGAATACATATTTTAATTCACCAACATCTGGAGGGCCACGTGTTCTCTATCCTTATATTTGGTGAGAAAAATGAACAAATATAACATTGCATGTTAACCACCTGATGGCAGCAAAAGCCAAGGAAAAGAAATGGAGAAACAGATGTTGCCCTTTATAACTTATGCAAAACCACAACAAGTATCAAAATGACTCATTGGGCTGCATTTATTATTTTGTTTCTTTCTGTGGTTGTTCTTGGTTTCAGTAAGCTAGTGGTGGGTTTTATTTACTGGAGGCAAAATGCAGTTTAGGTTCTGTGCTCTTGGTGGAGTTCTTGCTCTACCGAAGACAGAATATTAAGGCAGAACTAGAGAAAGCAACTCTCAGCCCATGGAAGAAAGCAATTTTCTATTGCTAATAGAAAGAGAAGGACAGAAATGAAAGTTATGGGGCCCTCGCTCAACAACAGGACATGAAAATCAAGCTGCTTTCATTTCTTCTTGCTTATGAACTTTCCAAACCAAATGACTTAGAATCAGGTTGCATTTTATACTAGGAGGTTCACGCTAGTTATTTGGAAACATTAAAAAGACAGTTGGGGTTAAAGACACTCAAAAACATATCTTTTTAGTGGTTCTTCTAAGAGGAAGGGCAAGGCCACCTACAGGGCCCAGGCATTAAAATAAACAACTTGCTAAAATGCAACCCAACCAGAAGCTGAGTTCAAGAACCTGTGGTTCTCCAGATGTTGGGGACTATAATTTCCAGCACCTTGGACCAAGCCATCTCAGGCTTAAGAGAAGAAACTGAAAGAAGGCAGATTCCCCATCCATGATTTACAGCGATCATGGAAGGTTAAATTTTCCTTTCTTGCTTAGCTATCTCCTCTTTCTTTTTCTTTTAGGCACACACATAGGCACACCGATTTTTTCCCAGATAGCAGGTGATTATTGTTCTACAATTTCTTTTTGTTTTTGAAGTAGCCACATTGGTTTTGCACACTGAATGACTGATGGTGTTACTGATCAAAGTGTATCTGCAAAACATGCATGTGAAAAGCACCAATGCAGAAAAAAAGGAAAATAGGGTGGGAAGGGCCATTGAAGTCACCAAGTCCCACCATCTGCTTAGTTTAGGAATCCACATTGAAGCATCCCAGATGTACAACTTCTAATCTCTTCTTGAACAGATCCAGTGAAGGGAGCCTCTTCTTGAATAAATCCAGTGAAGGGTTCCACCATCAAAGTATTTTTATTGTGATGCTTTTCCTAATATTTCATTGGAATCTTTCCTTCTCTGACTTAAATCCATTACTCCATGTCCAGCACTCTGGAATGTTAAAGAACAAGCCATCTTCCATGTAGCTTTCTTCTCCGAAGACTAAACATGCCTAGTT